GTCATTGTTGTTTGGCGGGTCCAGGCTGGGGATTCGAACCCACCACCTTAGGTGTACGTGGCTGGCGCCTTAGCCGGTTGAGCTATAGGTGCCGAGCCGAGAGCACTTTCTAATGAAAGCTTTGTACGGTTCTTTGCACTCTGCTGTGTGTTTTAATCCAAGACTTCACTTGCCCTCACTACAACCCCGTGAGGTCGGTAGGATGTGTAGTGATGCCTCATTTTATAGCTGAGGACACTGAGGCTGAAGGTAGAGGGCCAAGAGTCGAGGTCAGGCCTCCCTGGATGGCCATGCATCTGTGTGCTGCCTTCCTGGGGTCTGCAGGCTCCAGGCACATCTTCTCCCTCAGTCCAGGACATCAACATTTCCCTGTGGCGTTCACCAGAAAAGGTGAAGTCGGACAAGAGCGTCTTCATGAACCAGGGAGAATGGGAGCTGCTGGGCGTGCTGACCCAGTTCCAGGAGTTCAGTATAGATGGCAGCATCTACTATGCGGAGATGAAGTTCTATGTGAGTGGGGTAGATGTGCGTAAGATGGTGACTAATGCCCTGGACCCCCACACCCAGGTGGACTGAATGAGTCATATTGAGAAGAAATTCCATAGCCCCTTTCAACCACAGGGTCCCACACACCCCCTGGAACTTCAGTGGCTTAGATGTGGACACTGAACTGAATGTCCTTTTATTTATCCTGAAGAACCACAGCCTGATTGAAAGGCAGGACATGGGGGTCTGCCCATTTCCTCCTCTGAGAAATTCTAGCTGGATCCCCATGAAGCAAGGGTGTCTGGGCTTGGGGGTGGCCCCTAGGGGTGCAGCCTGTCTGCCCCAGACTCCCCACAAGTGCCTCTCCCGGTCCCAGGTGGTCATCCGCCGGCGGCCGCTCTTCTATGTGGTCAGCCTGCTGCTGCCCAGTATCTTCCTCATGGTCATGGACATCATGGGCTTCTACCTGCCCCCAGACAGCGGTGAGAGGGTCTCCTTCAAGATCACGCTCCTCCTGGGCTACTCCGTCTTCCTGATCATCGTGTCTGACACGCTGCCGGCCACTGCCATCGGCACTCCCCTCATCGGTAAGGCCCATTCTGAAGGAAGAGCTCAGGCTGGTGAGAAGCCGGCCCCCTCCCACCTCCTGTGTGTGTCTTTCCCCACCCCGGGGCCCGCAGGTATCTACTTCGTGGTGTGCATGGCCCTGCTGGTGATCAGCTTGGCCGAGACCATCTTCATCGTGCGGCTGGTGCACAAGCAGGACCTGCAGCAGCCCCTGCCGGCCTGGCTGCGGCGCCTGGTGCTAGAAAGGATCGCTTGGCTCCTCTGCCTTGGGGAACAGACAACCTCCCGGAGGGCCCCCACCACCTGCCAAGCCAGCAAGGCTGATGATTGCTCAGGTGAGAGAGAGGCGAGGAGAGTCCCACAAAGAGGGGCTGCCTCTGTCCTGCATGCAGGTGTGGAGGATGAGGCGTGCCACGGAGCCTGGGTAGGGGCTGGGAACTGGGTGCTGTCCTGCCTTATTGGGAGGGGAAGGCTTCGGTCAAGGGCATCCATCCTGACCCTTTCCTCACTCTCATAACCTCTCATTAACCTCAGTGTGGACAAAGAGGGTAGGAGTCCCAGAGGTGGAGCAGCGTGTCAGTTGAGCCTCTGGCCTGAGACTGCCCTGTCCCCAAGCTGGACCCATGAGTCAGGGCAAACAGATGCCCTGTGGGCAGTTATTGGCCTTCTTGCCTCACATGGTGAAGTGCTGCAGCTGGGATTTCTGAAGCTCCCTCATTCATAATAGCCCAGTGACCAGGCTCCTTAGAATTTCAACATAAAGCAGAGAAACAGGGGCTCCGGGACATGTCAGTGTGGGTTCACGCCTCCTGAAAGATTGTTACGGCTTCCATTTGTTGCTGTTACAAACCGCAGCGGCTGGTTGGTCGATCAACTGAGCAGTTTGTGTCGGGCTCGTGCAAACCACTTTCTGGGCATTATTACATGTGATACTCATGACCGCCCACGAAGATTCTCATTCCCATTTTTCAAACACAGAAGCAGAGGCACAGAGAGGGTAAATAGCTTGTCTAATGCACAGAGCCAAGAACTGTTGGAACCGTGATTTGAATCCATCTGACTCTAAGCCTCTGTTCTTAACCATTCCTTTCTGCTCCACTCCCTTTCCTCCTTCCTCCTGGCTAGACCCAGGTCTTTAACCTGAGACTTAAGGTTCAACGAAGACCATCTCGCCATGAGTTAGTGTCCTAATCCACTGGCCTACAGTCTAATTTTACTTAGTGATGGTAGCCAGAGCTGAAGGTGTATTGTCTGGTCCAGGGCTCAGAGTCATGGAGATAATGGCAGTGCCCTCCAGACAGCAATCCCCTTCTCAGGCAATATGACAGAGCTGGGAGAGCAGTGGAGTGGGGTTCAGATTCCTGGGCCTTGGTGGTTTCACCATTAACTGATACTCCAACTATGTGACCATGGGCAGTCTCGGCTTCTCTCAGCTTTAGCACTCGCATGTAGAAGGTGGGAATACCATCACTTCTCCTCTGCCCCTCTTGTTGGGCTATTGTGAGGCTCAGATAAAATAACGGATATCAGATTACTGGGGAAAGTCCACAGGTTGAAAAAATATGTACGGGAGGGAGAACTTAGTGATATTAGTGATCTGGGGAAGAGGTGGAGGTTGTGACTGAGGACAGGTACACAGGGACCCTCAACCATATTGCTTTTTTATTTTTATTTATTTATTTATTTATTTTTGAGACAGAGCCTCAAGCTGTCCCCCTGGGCAGAGTGCC